CTCCCCCGATGACCTCTCCTTCTCATGCAGGCTCTGGCACAAAGCCACCCTCTTCTTCCAAAATCTTAATGTCTGCTTTGGGGGCCTGGGCCTCCTTTTGCATGTTCACTGAGGCTTCCAGACCCAGGTCAGGCATCTAAGGAAGTCTTTGGGTTAGGGGGCTGTCCTTCTCAAAACTATTTCTATGGTAACGGTTTCTATGTGGCTGTCTAACAAGTCTTGGGGTTGTGGTGAAGGTGAGGGACCTTGCAGGCATTGTGTAAGAATCCATAGCTGCCCCTGCTTGCCTTAGTGCGGTCTCAGACAAACAGAGGGCCCGCTTGGGAAAGCAAGTAGACTGGGTGGGCTTGCAGCCTAGGCCCCACCCCTCTACTCGCTCTGGTTGGTTTGGCACTGTTCTTGGGGAGATCTGAGGCCTCTGAAACCCCTGCCCATTGGTTGGGGGTGGTGGGGTGGGTTGTCAGAGGAGTCACAACGCCCTCGCTGCCCCATAGGCCATGCCTGTGCCTGGTGGGCTAGGGCCTGATAGGTCACGACTGTACCATGTTAGGGCAGGTCTTGCAGCATGAGGGGTGGGCTTTGGGGCCTGAATGGGCTGTCCTTCTGAAGTCATGGACCATGTGCTGGTGGTGTCACACACCATGTGCTTGGGGGCAGGAGTGGAGTATCTGATGTCGCATCATGTGACTGGGGTTGGGGACAGAGTTGCTGATGTCACACACCATGTGGTTGGGGGTGGGGTTTGTGATGTCACGCCTCATGTGACTGGGAGCTGGCAGTGGGGTTGCTGATGTCACGCACCATGTGACTGGGGGCAGAGGTGCGGTTTGTGATATGTCTCATGTGACTGGGGCAGGGGCGGGGTTTGTGACTTCACACATCATGTAAGGGGGGAAGGGGGTAGGGTGATGGGGGGTGGGACTTCCAGTGCCAAGATGGCCACCTGTCACATTAATGGAGGTGTTTTATAATACTACCGTCTTCCAGCTTCCAAGGTAGGCTGGCATTTGAGCTGCCTTTTATACAGTGGCTTTTATTGTATTTTTTTTCTGTCTTCCTACCATCTCTCTTTTTCAAATCATCTGCATTTGGTTTTTTCTTCACCTGTGGACCAACTTGGACCAAACTTCTTCACCTGTGTCTTTAAGGTCCTCCCCCTCCATGCGACACTGGTCAGGCCACAGCTGGAGTACTGTGTCCAGTTCTGGGCACCTCACTTCAAGAGGGATGTGGACAACATTGAGAGGGTCCAGAGGAGGGCCACCCGCATGATCCGGGGACAGCAGGGCAGACCCTACAACGAGAGGTTACGGGACCTGAACCTGTTCAGCCTTCACAAGAGAAGGCTGAGGGGGGATCTTGTGACTGTCTATAAACTCACTAGGGGGTACCAGAAGGGTTTGGAGAAGACCTCGTTTCCCCTAGAGCCCCCCGGGATAACAAGGAATAACAGCCACAAGTTGTTGGAGAGTAGGTTTAGATTAGACATCCGTAGGAACTACTTCACAGTTAGGGCAGCTGGGATCTGGAACCAACTTCCAAGGGAAGTGGTGCTG